GGAGAGGTAGCCTGAAATGGCCCTATTCTGTTGCCATACTGATGAATATCTTGCATATCACCATAGAACCTTCATCTGGCGATGGATGGAGATAGAGACAGAGACCCACATTGGAGCACCCGACTGAGCTCCTAAGGTCCAAATGAGGAGCAGAAAAAGGGAGAACATGAGAAAGGGATTCAGGACTGTGAGGGGTGCACCCACCCATTGAGACAGTGGGGCTGATCTACTGGGAGCTCACCAAGACCAGCTTGACTGGGATTGAAAAAGCATGGGATAAAACTGGACTCTCTGATCATGGCGGACAATGAGGGCTGATGAGAAGCCAAGGGCAATGGCACTGGGTTTTGATCCTATTGCATGTATTGGCTTTGTGGGAGCCTGTTCTGTTTGGATGCTCACCTTTCCTAGACCAGGATGGAGGGGGAAGGACCTTGGACTGCCAACAGTGCAGGGAACCCTGACTGCTCTTTGGACTGGAGAGGGAGGGGAGAAGGGTGGATGGAGGGGGAGAAAAATGGGAGGCGGGGAGGAGGCAGAAATTTTTAATAAAAAAATAACCAAAAGTATATGAGTCTTTAAAAAAAGAAATCATGGAAACAATTGCTATGACTTAATCTGTTTCTCATACTACATTTGCTTGCAAATAAATGAATGAGGGGAGAAAGGAAATCTCCTTGAAAACCACCATGGGTAGAGGATACTTGTTCTTACACAGCCTTTTATTTCTCTTCCTGTATACTATTCCAAGTCTGGGCACCTTTTATTCCTGGACAGACCACATGTTAGCAAATTGTTTAAGGAGTTATATGTTTCCACAAATGAAGTGTACCTTTGGAAAATATTCCCACAAATGTGAGAAATCAATCGAACTATGCAGGAATTTGTATGCATGTGTTTGAATATTTGAAATATAGTTAAACATGTTAAAACAAAAATATGAGCCATGGAAATTATATTTTATTATTTTTTGCTATAATTTTAGGGTCTTTATTTGTAAGTGCTTAGTATTTCAGGGGAAAAACAGAGATGCATGAGTTCCTTTCTATCACTGCTCAGAATTAATATATTTTCTATGGATTGCCAGTTCACAGCAAAACACCCTCAGGGAAACACCTGATACCCATTATAGAGTGTCAGATCTCCATAAAATTTAGAGTTCTGTATGAGCTTATCACAGCATTTCACCATATCTGTTCTGCTTGTTATTGTATACAATGGAGCCCTTGCTTCTCCAGTATGAGGGCACACTAATGGCTATCATAGATGGCATTGGAAAAGAGTCCTTTTCTGCCAAAGCAATATGGAATTACACAGACATACTACTATCATCATAGAATCCATTCACAAGTGGTTAGCCCCTGTGAGATTGTGATTAGATGATCTGAACTTCTTCTCCTATGTTAAGGTAATGTGAGGATCACAATATGGATGACATGGTGTATTGTCTGTGAACATGAGAAGGAAATTTCCTTGAATACATGCAGACATTGGTTTCTAGCATTTCTCATTCATTCTTTAGGCTTTATATTGTGCTTATCCTCTGGCTGGGGCTTGTTTTCATTGATCACATGAAACCAGCTAATTTTTCTATAACTGTGCTATACTTACTGTTCCTGAACACATATTAAAGGCCTAAGAACAATTTCACAATTACTGCGCCCTCTTTCATCTATGAATATATCTGAAACTTGACTCATGTTTACTCAATCTGATTCACTTACAGATTTTTACACCTTGATTTCCTCAGTAGTCTGATATCTCAGTTGTAGGATCAACCAGTTCAGCTTTTTTCAGGAGGTCTGTGAGATGCTCACTCTGCACATTAGCTCCAGGGAAAGTCACAGATGAACTCCACAGTCCATTCCACTGAGAAAATATCATGCATCAGCATCTAGAATTACTATTGATGGAACAGCCACACTGGAAAGTGAGAGAGAGTAATCATGAAGGTTTACTGGACTTGGGTCCATACTTCAGTTCATATGGATGAAATGACTGGTTACAAAATTAGATCAGTGACAAACATCAGAAAATAAATCAAAGGTTTAAGGTTTTGGTTATATGAAGCCTTAGATAAAAATAATGATTTGGAAAAAAAGAAAATATCTTAGGATATGTTGAAGGCAAGTAATTGAGATAGATAAAAGTAGGCTATGAAGGTCTGAGGATGAGAAGGTTTAAGAAATGATACAAAAGTTATTTGAGGTGTATAGAAAAGTAACATGTTTCAGATCTGTCTCTTGCTATTCTGCTGTTACATTGAGATTCCAAAGGTTCTTAATTTGATAGTAATTATTAATCAAATACCAATAAACTACTATTCTGCCTCTAACTAAATATCAGCACTACTATAATAACCACAAATAATAAAAAAAATTCAATGATTTTTTTTTCTTTATGAAGGTTCTTATAGGCTTCAAAATATCAACTTGAATTCAACAACACCCACAGGTCATGGTAAACTTACATAATGTTTCACCAAGCTGCTGTGATTTGTTTCCCTCCAACCTAAAGTGACACCTATCTCTCTCTCTCTCTCTCTCTCTCTCTCTCTCTCTCTCTCTCTCTCTCTCTCTCTCTCTCATTCTCTCTCTCTTCTTTCTCATATACCAGAACCAAGAACCCACCATAATTTTTTTAACCACTTAATTTCACTTCTGTCCCTGATCTGTTTCAATAGGTTTGAAATCAGCTACAGACACCTCCAGCAAATCCAGCATAAACTCTATCTATTTCTAGCTGTTTCCTCAGAATCTACATTCTGGTTCAGCCACTCAGACTACACATCCCTAGTCTCAAATGGTCCTACAGAGCATGAAAATAAAAGAAATAGCCTGCCTGCTCGTCCTGGGCTTGGCAAGCTTTGCAGGTTTTGTGTCCCCAACTCCAATGCCCTAATTTCAGCATGAAGTAGAGAGATGATTACATTGTACCTTGTAATTCATTTGAATCAACAAAAGGTCTAGAATATTAATTTCCTAACCTGGGACATATGGCTGAGTTATCTATTTAATATAAGCTATAAAAAGAAATTACTAAGGTTCTAAGTAGGTCTAAACCACTTACAACTGATTTAAGAGTTACTATACTCATTACTACTATAAGAATTGGCTTTTCTTTGTTTCTTTATTTATTTATTTTATTTGTTGAAAAAAATTTCTGCCTCCTCCCTGCCTCCCATTTCCCTCCCCCTACCCCCACTCCGCTCTCCCCACCCTTACTCCTCTCCCCCTCTCCACTCTTCTCCTTCTCCCCCTACTCCATTCCCCCTCCCTCTCGAGTCTGAAGAGCAGTCCGGATTCCCTGCCCTGTGGGAAGTCCAAGGTCCTCCACCCTCCATTGAGGTCCAGGAAGGTGAGCATCCAAACAGGCTAAGCTCCCACAAAGCCAGTTCATGCAGTAGGATCGAAACCTAGTGCCATTGTCCTTGGCTTCTCATCAGACTTCATTGTCCACCATGTTCAGAAAGTTCGGTTTCATCCCATGCTTATTCCGTTCCAGTCCAGCTGGCCTTGGTGAGCTCCCAATAGATCAGCCCCACTGTCACAGTAGGTGGGTGCACCCCTCATGGTCCTGACTTCCTTGCTCGTGTTCTTCCTCTTTCTGCTCCTCATTTGGACCTTAGGAGCTCAGTCGGGTGCTCCAATGTGGGTCTCTGTCTCTATAAGAATTGTATATACAACTGCCTTAATACAAAAGGTTCATATTTCAGAGCATGTTAATTGGCTCTCAAAATATGTTAATCAAAAGTTGCTAAAAATCTAGAAGATAGGGGCCTCAAGGATCATATCAATTCTTTGGAGGAAGTTGTTCTTTTTCAGGAAATTAGTTGAACAAAATTAATCTTAGACTTAGTGTTCAGTGTCATTTTACCTTTAAATGGATGTGTGTGACTGCTCTTCCAAATCATGACATAGAATATGACTGGGGTCAAGTTCAGGCACTTATAGGATAGTTGGAATAATTCTTTATCTATAGACATAGATTCCTCCCTTCACCAAAAATTCTCATGACAGACTCACTCTGTACAGAAATTATAGCTGTTTCTTCTTTATTCATTATCTAAGGTGATATTGGGTAGATGTCTTAAGGATGAATGGTGAACTGTGCATCAGTTGATTTCCAGATCTCCATTAAACACATTCTTTTCTTTGGTTTGTTCAAAAACTCTAGCAGTGAACGTTAATGATGAAGTGAATTGATTGACATCACGATGGATTGATAATGTCTCCAAGTACTCTACCATGCAAAAATCCAAACACACTGTAGAAAAAGGTGACCACCAGGTTGATATACAATGGCCTGTGAGAAATGATGATGAATCAGTATAGTTCTATGTTCTATAAGGGCTTGAGACTATGAGGCAGGTTTCTGAGCCAGGGAAGGAAGTAAATATAGGACCAAGGAATAATGTATTATCTGAGAACCAACCTCAGTTGACAGGTATATTCATTGGATTTGATTAATGATTTTTGGGAAAAGTAAATTAATCATAGTCTTGACCACCTTAGAGGAATTATACTTATGTGGCAGTGCATATTATTACATATCTTATATCTTGAGACTGGAACTTCTGTTGGACCACACAGCCAGAGTTAAGAATAAACCGAAATCATGTAATATTTAAGACTCCAAAGGAGTTTTGTCTTCTAAGTTGTTATTATTTGGACTTTACTGCTCAAATTCATACTTTAATATGAATTCATATTTTAATTTATTAAAACCAACCCCACTAAATGCCCCAATCACTTAGAATCCAGAGATGGATATTTTTATTATGCTTCATATCACAGTTTTTACTTTTAATTATTTTATTAATGAAGAAGCATGCCAATGGCTGTGGTCATTGGTGAAGCAATTGTCAAGGTATGTTGTACACTTCCTAAATCAGCATTACTTCATTCACATGTGTAATTTTGAAAAGTTGTTACAAAAAGTAACAGACAAAGCAACATTCAGAATGATTGTTTCTGTGAATGTCTTAAGGATAATCTCTGTCATTTCAGTCTCAGCACAGCTTCCTGTTCCTCCAGGGTTTCTGACACACTCAGGATGTGGTTGCAACAGTGTCTTGCACAGTAATAGACTGTAGAGTCCTCAGATATCAGACTGCTGAGCTCCATGTAGGCTGTGCTAGAGGATGTGTCTACAGTCAGTGTGGCCTTGTCCTGGAACTTCTCATTGTAGCTAGTACCACCAGTATTAGGATTAATCCTTCCAATCCACTCCAGACCCTGTCCAGGCCTCTGTTTTACCCAGTTAATATAGTAGCTAGTGAAGGTGTATCCTGAAGCCTTGTAAGACAGCTTCACTGAGGTTCCAGGTCTCCCCAGTTCAGGCCCAGACTGATGTAGCTGTTCCTGAGAGAGGACACCTGTGAAGGAAAGACAGAGTGGACTGTGAGCGACCTTGTCACCTCAGTCCCTGTCTTCTCAGGTTTGGAATTGAAAACCTCTTACCTGTAATTACTGACAAAAGGAAGAGAATGATACAGCTCCATCCCATGGTGAGGACCTGTGTGCTCAGTGCCCATGGAGAAGACACTGATCATATGTTGTTCTGGGGTTTGGACATCACTGTATTTACCAAAATAGACTGGGTAATTTGCATATTCAAGAAGAGAGAACTTCTTACAAAAGGTCATAGTCCAGTTTGAGAAGGAGGTGAGGGACTTGAAACAAGCAACAGGATGGTGACATTAAGTCCTAATCCTGTCAGCAGAAATGTATCTCACACCATTCCCTCAGCTCTGCAGATGTTGTGGGTGTAACCTCAGGATATAAGATTGCAATAGTCTTCTGACCTGAGGCAGTTGCTCCACTTTGTAACAAGTTTGTCAGATTGATTTACAGAAAGTGGTTATGATGATGGTGGTGGTAACTGAAAATTTCAAAATTTGCTAAATTTTGAGACATAACAGCCTATGTTCAGATACATACATTTAGTATTTACCATAGTAGACAGTTGCATACAAAATCTCGATGAAATGACCTAAAGGAACATACTTCAGAAATATCTGTGCATTTATATTTTAATACAGCACTATCTACCATAACTTATGGAAATAAACATCATGTCTTTCAGCAGATGATTGCAGCAAGAAAACATGACTATATATGTGATAAAAATAGGTCATCTGAAAAAATAAGAAACTTATATCACCTTTAGGAAAATCTATGAAACTGGAGATAACCGTATTAAGATTATCTCTGAAAAGCAGATACTATATGAAACTCTAAACAGTTTTATATATTGAATAAGTATACAGAACTATTTGGGCAAATATCTAACAACTTAAAAATGAAACTATCTAGAAGAATATAGCAAAAACAAGAGGGTCGAGAAAAGAAAGGGTAGACATTATAGGGGAAATATGCACAGTGTAAAATATACATGTATTAAAATTCTAAAAGTATATAAAATTAGTATTTTCAAAATAATTTTCTCATTCTTTGACATTTTCAATCATGTATGTAATATAGTATGATCATTTCTTTCCCCAACTATGTTCCTCTCACTTTCTTGTGACCTTCTAACAAGTCGCTCTTTTGTTTAATAATAACAGTGTTCTCTATATACACTTAGGTATTTCAATCCCCAGTGCTGAGGAGCCTCTAGAAACCTTATCAAAAGTGATTATACTTTTATCATCAGTCATCCAATGCCAATAAATCCAAAGCCTGCTGTTGGCCCATGAAGAGTCCCTCCCCAACATATTATAATATTTGTTAAATTTTCAATTATTCTCTCATAAAGTATATCACAACCAAAATTTCCACTCATCCCACTCTCTCACCCATACTTCTGCTCTCCCCCAGATGCACCACATTCTGTCTCCACATAGAAAAAAAGCAAGCATCCCTGGAACATCCATAAAATATGAATGCTACAATAATACCAGGCACATACAATATCATCAAGCCTGGATGGAGCAACCCAGTAGAAAGTAAGGGGTCCTGCAAGTAGGTCGAAGAATCAGACAGGCCCTGTTCCCAGTGTTAGTAACCTGCAAAGTATTCCAAGCTATTCAGTCATTACAGGTATGCAGAGGACCTAAGTCAGCCCCCTACAGGAACCCCGATTTTTTCAAATCTCCATGAGTGCTCGTTAGTTGAATTTGTGAACTATGATCTCACAGTGTCTGTGGGTCCTCTGGTTTTAATGAATCTTCCTCCCATTCCTCAACAGGACTCCATGAACGACACCTAATATCTGACTCTAAGATACTGCATGTGCTCACATCAGTTTCCTGATGCAGTCTCCTTGGTCTCAGTGATGATGATTCTTCTAGGTTCCAGTTGCAGAACACTCTCCTGGCAGAAAAGTAACTGTAGGTCGATGTTATATGGCTGGATTTTAGACCTTGCGTGGTTATAGAAGATAGACAGCTCAGAAAAACTGGTACAATGGAAAATATATGTAATCTATGAAGTTAACCCTAGCAAACACTCCTGGTAATGTGGGACATAGAGCCTGAAATAACCATTTCTTAATTTTTTTAAAAAAAATGTTAAATTGTGGCCAATGATGAAAGCAAGGCACAAATACACCAAGATGCAAATAACAACCTTGAAGGACAACTTATGAAAGTCAATTCTCAGTCCTACCAAATAGATACAAGCAATTCAAAAAAATACTGGTGAGCTTACATGTAGATGTCTTTACTCACTCAACTACTTCACAGGCTCTCATGCTGTGACGTTAACTGGCTGGAGGTCTTGTGCTGGTAACTACAACTGCTAAGAGTTCATATGTAGCATAGCTTTGTCAGGTCCTGAAGACAGTATTTCATGGCTACCCACTGCATATCCTGGTTCTTAAATTTGATCCCATCTATTTTGTGAAGGTCCATGTATTTTGGGTGCAAAATAGATACAGATGGATCATCTGTGGATGAGTACTCAGTCTTCCATTTTTAGCACATTGACCAGGTATGAATGTTTACATTATTACCCACTGCACACAGAAGTTCTTGTGATCATGGCTGAGAGTAGGACTAATCTATTGGCTATAAAAGCAACTATTTATATTGCAATTAGACAGCAAGACTATTAGCAATGAAACTTTGGTAGGTTCTATTAGGGCCTATGTTACCCCAAGTCATGGGCTTTTGAACATGTTTACCTGGGATAAATATTTACAATGAATTAATCAAAGAATATAATTAGAATAAAGTTGATCACCACATACCACTCAGGCACTAGTGAGTGCCTTACTGAGAGGCTGTTATTGAAGACTACAAGGTCTGGTACTTTATATGATCATTGATGTCCTTTCTCCCAATGCAAACTGAATAATGCATTCCCACATTAGGAAAGGTAGCTGAACGGAGAATTTCCTATTCAATTTCTGGTCGGTTTCTCTTTGGCATACAGTGATACATTCCTTAGCTTACAGTGAAATGAAGTTCATAACAACTATAACATTCTATTTTTACCTCAGTTAGAAATGACTATGAACAAAAAATAAAGGATAACAAATGCATGCTTGGTTGCATTTGGAGAAATGCAAATTGGAGAAAGTGTGATCCTCATGCACTGTTGATGACACTATACACTAGTGTCCTGACTTAGGAAATTTCATCAAAAATACTAAATAAAACCACTTTTGCTCTAGCTTTACCCCTCTAAGTATATACTTAAGAGACTCCACATCTTACTGTAAAGACACTAGCACATCAATATTTATTGCTACTCTGTTCACAGCAGATGGGAAATGGAATCAACCTAGATTTCTAACAAAGGACAAATAGATAATGAAAACTGGGGTATATGAACAATGGGATATTACTCAGTAGTAAAACAAGAATGATGAACTATATAAGAAACTGATTGAAACTGAAATAAATATGTTGAGTGAGGTCAGCCAGGTCGATGAAGATACAGCTTTATGTTCTTACTTATATGTGATTCCATGATTTGAATACTTGCTTTGTTAGTTTAATTTGTAGAAGCAAAGTGACTACAAATAAAACATTAGGACCTGAGGTATTAATGAAGATGTCTAATAAAACAGGGACAAAAAAAAAACCAGAGCAGAACTCTGGAGAAAGAAAGTCTCAAGCATGAACTGGCACTTGGGAACTGAGAAATCAGGAATTGGTGTAAGGCACACCAAAATTAGAGGTGATAAGAAAGCTATGTGTAAATATAGGATCTTGCAGCAGAAGTAAAAAATTAAGATGTAGATAACATGGAGTGTGTGTTGCATGACAAAATGAAGTTAGGGTGCTTACAGTAAAGTTAAGGGTACTATAGAATAAAGAAAAACAAATTAATTTTGTTTTTGCTATATCAAAACATGGGGAAATAATAAACAGTAAATAGTTGCCTTTTGGTAAATTTGCAGTTTTCTTTGGTTGACAATATTTTTTGTGTTAAGATAATAACGTGATGAGAGAGCATTTACATAAAAACTAATGAATTAAAGAAAACTGTAGGCAAACCTTGTTATATCTAGATAAGACTTGTAGTTTAGCTGTTAGTGCTATTTCAGTGGTCTGTTCTCATCATGATCTATGGTTATCTGGATTATTGCTGAAATCTAGGTAGAAAGCACAAGGATGAACTTTGAATTTTATTTTAACCTGTGAGCATTTCAACAGCAGTACCTTCCTGGGTGAACAGTGCTGCTTTCTAAATACATGAGTTATTAATTTATCATCTCAATGCCAAATTAGAGAGAGACAGACAGACAGACAGACAGACACAAGCTCTCACCCAAAGCAAGAAAATTCAGCAATTTTTGCTTGCAAAGGAAGAATTAGTTTTCTGTAATTGAGTCTCATCAGGCATATTAACCACACTTAAGGGTGGATCCATGCCCAGGAGTAGATGACCAGCACAAAATGGCCTCAATTGTATGTCTGTAGATATTTCCTATCATATCAATTTATACTGCATTTTTTCATCTAATATGTTTTTGCCTAGTACTATGGTTCCAGGGTTGAATTGCTTAAAATTTTTAGTTTGATTTGGGGTACTTTAGTTTTGGTTTCTCTATCATCTATCTATCTATCTATCTATCTATCTATCTATCATCTATCTATCTATCTATCTATCTATCTATCTATCTATCTATCTATCTTTTTCTCTGTGTTTCTTTCTGTGATGTGTAAAGTATGTGTTGTTTTATTTCACTTTGGTTTTTACCCATTTTTAAATTGTTTTTTTTTCTTACAATGAGAAAACAAGGCTATGGGGTTGAATAGGAAAGGACAAAGGAAAGATCTGTGAAGAATAGGTAGAAGGGAATCAGTGATCAGACACATTACATAAAATTTTTCAAAATATCTGTAAAGAGCAAATAAAAACTGAATAAAATAAACAATAAAATACAAACCCATAAAATGTTTAACAAAGAATCTTTACTGTGTTTGAGGAAGGAAACATCACTTGTCAATTACAACAGTTGTAGGTCAGCTAAAGGAAACCACAAAGGACACAGAGCTCCTTTCAAACCAACCTCATCTCTCTACTGGGGATAATTGACTCTTTTCTGATCCC